AATTTTTTTTTTTTTTTTTTTGGTAGAAAATGATGAAAAATATTAAAACTGAGTTTTTTTTCTCCGGGTGAACAGTAACTCCTTTTTTTTTTTTGAATTGAAAATACTAAAATTGAATTTTTCGGGTGTGAATAGTACCCATGAACAGTAACACGATTTTTATTTATTTTTATTTTTTATTATTATTTTTTTTTTTATAAAGACGGAGAACTAAAAAAAATAAAATGAAAAACACTACTTTACGCTAAATCTTTTTCAATTGTGCTATTGTAACAAATTTTGGGAAGAAAATTTTGGATTGTATGAGGAAATATCCAATTTTTGGCTCTGATACCAAATTTGATGCAGCACCAACTCGAGCAATTAATTGAATGTTAGAACGGATCTATGGAAAAGGGGGAATTGAAGGAAAGAATGGGGAAAGAAGAAGCTTTCACAGTAGAAGAAAAAAATAGGAAGAGAGAAGAAGAACGGGGAAGAGGAGGGATTTCGCCCCAAGCCAACAAAATATTATTCATTCATCAACTACTGAAATTACATCGCAATTAGGTTTAAATAGTAAAAATTAAAACCCTAACTAGAATGAACTTGGGACTTAGGCCAGTACAAGCCCAATTACATAAATAAAAGTCTAAAACATAAATGAAGTCCACAAAATAAAATAAAGTCCAACTAGAAATAAAATAGATGATGTCCTTGTCAAATACCTTTGGCCTTGTAGTCATATTGGAAGGAAAACCAATGGAAACTAATCTTCTTTGGTATAAGATTGAGAGAGACACGTGAATGTTATGTTTATATTTGTGTGTTGACACTTGACAGGGAAGAAATCTTGATTCTCTGCGTTGTTTACTCAAATTTATGATGATGTAATTTTGTAGGGTGTGGCCACGAACTCTGTATAAGATGTGCACTCTACATTTGTTCGACAAGTAATATCCCTTCTGAATTGTTAGTTCCACCTGGTTCGATTCCTTGTCCTTTTTGCCGACATGGAATTGTCGCATTTGTGAAATTGCCTGGTTCTTCAGCAAAGGAAATTAACTTACCTCTATCACTCAGCCTGTGCACGCCTTGTATGCTTCACCATCGAGAACAAGACAGATCCGAGTCTGTAGGTTCACCTGATGTAAGGAAGACTCGCTCAGATTCTGTTTCTTCCGATATTTTCTGCCCAGTGACTTGTAGCCCGTTTCCTTCTGTAACAATCCCATTATGCACCTGCAACGATGGGCCTTGTCCAAATTCTGATTCCAGAGGAAGTGAAACTCAAGAAGCATCCCCTCGTCGTTCACAGTCTACATCAAATGAACAGGAAAAAATTGACGGAATGAGACTGGAGAAAACTACATGTACGAGTATGTTTTGGGGTAGAAGAAGCTGCAGCAGGGAGCATCAGTGTAATGCTGAAATAAACGCTCGAATGGCTTAGGAAAATATTATATTCCTATATTTTTATACATGGGATTATGAACTCGACCGACTATTCGATGGTTTCAAGTTTCAGGCATCTGATTATAGAAGCTGGAATAGTTCACTTCTGTTTGCTGCTGCTGCTGCTGCTGCTGCT